ATTATGAAAATTTCACTTGCCCGAGATAAGCAAGTTAGCCAGAAATTGAACGTGTGATAAGAGTTCCAAGTGATACCATTGGTCCCATGTGGATTTTTGCAAAATTACATTTGATACTTTGATAATTATTTACAGCGTTCATACCTCTGCAATATCACCAGCTTTTGTTTGTATTAAATTAATTTTACACCCGATTGGCACATTATTATTTTGCGCGCATAAAAAACGCAAAACGCATTACGTGTTACAGACTTATCTAACTAATTGTCAGATTTTATTAATTACCGAATGTTGGTACTCGCTGGGATTAGTTTTACATTAGAACGGAAGCGTGTATTTCCACGAGAACCGAAAAACCGTAAGGTCTAGAAAATCTAAGGTCTGTTCTAAAAAATGATAAATTTAGCCCAGATTGCCATTCTCTCGTTCCATGTCCATTTCAGTGTTCGAACTGGAGCACAAGATCGGCATGTACGCAAAGTGCCAGTATCCGCTTTAGCAATAACGTAATTCACCACAATTCGCGTTGCACTGGTTCGTAGAAGGCGGAATTGTGGGCAATTCAAATGAATATACATATTCGCAATACTCAGCCTGTCCTTATGGAAGATTCGAACTCGAAACTCGAAGATCGATCGAACCGAAGCAAGATCCTATCGATGACTTTCCTCCCACCTTGTGCCCGGGGTATCTCACTCGGAAATCACTGGACCGATTGTGACTAACACCTCACAATTAAATCTCTCGTCCCGTAGAAATACGTACCCTGTACAAAGCATAGCGTTACGACGATGCTATCGGGGACCGTTGTTAATTTATGTCACGTTCCGAAAAGGACGCTAACCGCAGTTCGATAAACTCGGCACGCTGGTTCTCGAGGACAGACCGAATCTCACGGAGCACCGTGCAAATCCGTAGGTCCACTTTATGACATGTGAATTTTTCACAGGTTCCGAAAATTCCTAAAACTACCTTTATTCCTGCGACCAGTCGAATAAATCAGGTAAATTCAATTGGGATGCAAGATACGAATTTTCAAAATAACAATAACTAACCATGATCGACGTTAAATTTCGTATAATTAATTTAATCCGTATTTTCAATTCTCTCCTCGATCTCAGCCATAAACAACGTAACGAACGATGCCGCAGGCAGGGTGCAGCAACAAAACAAAATTACGAGTAACAGCTGATCTACTTAACAATGCTCGAGCACAGGATTTTCTTGTAAACTGAAATTACATCAGAATTTACTTATGAAGGAATTTCGAGATAAAAAAAAAACATGGCCGACTCAGTCGATTGGCTGGACATTCGAACAGACCGAATCGCGTGTACGTCGGGTTTTTTTGAAAAATATTTATTTCGACCGTCGAGAATCTCCTTTCGCGGTACAAAAAGGAAAGTGAGAATGCGCGTTAAGAGATGGAAAAAGAAAGGAACGATTTAACGAGCGGATCGTAAAATTTTTAAGCATACTTTGTATGCTTCGGAGATACCGCAAATCTGCATCGGATTACACGTATGGCTTGAAAAGAAAAAACTTCCTGACTTGTTATTGCCTCTCGTTTGGTACAACGATGAATCAACGAGAACGGAACGTGAATTAAAATCGATATAATTTTCACTGCTACGACTGCGGTATACAATTATTTTTTAGTACAATGATATTCATACTGATACAGCAGGTAGCGCTTGACTCAAAGTACACGGTAACTGCTTCTGGCAAGTTTCGCGGCTGTGACTCTTTTATTTGTCGATAACGAAGTCTCGCCCGATAATAAGAAAAACGCGAAGACTAACGATGAATAATGAGAAGAGATGCTGATTCAACGTCGCGGTGGTGGTAACGAAGCGACTCATGTAAAATACACGAGACGCCACGCGTGAGAGGTGATTCATTGAATTCATGAATATCGGGGCAAGGTTGGCTCAATTTGAATTGGAGGTCAATCCCTTTGAAATCTTTGACTGGTCCCTTTATCTTTTTCAAATCGGTCCTAAGTATTCAATCGCGTTGATATGCATACTCCTTGGCACCAGCAGTTATTTACGAATGCCGATGAAATTTTCTCATAGATTTTGGTAAAAAGTGGAAATAGGTAATTTTCAATATTTCCTTGATATTTAAAATCCTGTATCTGGCTTTGATTCATTGAATTCATGAATATCGGGGCAAGGTTGGCTCAATTTGAATCGGAGGTCAATCCCTTTAGAATCTTTGACTAGTCCCTTTATCTTTTTCAAATCGATCCTAAGTATTCAATCGCGTTGATATGCATACTCCTTGGCACCAGCAGTTATTTACGAATGCCGATGAAATTTTCTCATAGATTTTGGTAAAAAGTGGAAATAGGTAATTTTCAATATTTCCTTGATATTTAAAATCCTGTATCTGGCTTTGATTCATTGAATTCATGAATATCGGGGCAAGGTTGGCTCAATTTGAATCGGAGGTCAATCCCTTTAGAATCTTTGACTAGTCCCTTTATCTTTTTCAAATCGATCCTAAGTATTCAATCGCGTTGATATGCATACTCCTTGGCACCAGCAGTTATTTACGAATGCCGATGAAATTTTCTCATAGATTTGGGTAAAAAGTGGAAATAGGTCATTTTCAATATTCCCTTGATATCTAAAATCCTGTATCTGGCTTTGAGCACGATACTGTATTTTACGCTTAATGAATTCAAGGATCGATCAATTTCGATGGAACCATGAAAATTTGTAGATCGTTGTAAAATATAAATATATTGCGCATATATTATTTTTAACGATGCATAAAGAAACTTTATACGCCAGATATACAAAGCATGTACGAAAACACGACAATTGCTAATTACGGCATTTGCACTGGTGCATCACGGTTATAGAATTTCAGGTCTGTCTTATTTGTCGCGATTGACTAAAAGCTGTCTTTTTTTTAAGAAAACAATTTTTTTCCTTTTACTACTTTACGATACTCGCTAACGAAGTGGTCAAACAATTAATAGTCATTGATCGTGTCAGCACTGTCTATAGATATACTGAGTATCTGCTAATAATGAAATTATGAAAAATGAAAAGGACCGGCTAACTTCAGGTGGTGCGTGTCAACTGAATAACCCAGTATATACATAGCCAATCCACGAGTGAAATATATTTTTGAAAAATGGCAAACACTGAAATTCCCTAAAAATTCGTGTTTATAAATTTCCATAAAATCCGTGAAATTTTTTTTTTGCAAATACAAAAATATATTTCATGTAAACCATGCACATGCATGTACTCTGAAACAAGAATTGTACGTAAAGTCGCGTGTGGCTTGCTAAGATAATTCTTTGTTGTCGATCCATGAAAAAAAAAAAAAAAATACATTTTACTCATGGACCAGCTACAACTTTTTTTTTCTTTGTTCAAAACTTGTATTTACTTCCTGACAGAGCGTGCAACGAAGCACGCATGCAATGTCCCACGTGGCCATTACGTTACGTAAGGAATGCGATATGAAAAACTAATTGTTCATCAGTCTTACGTCAGAGTTCGGATCGACGTGGAAGAAATATAAAACAAACTGTAAAGTAAGAGAGGGCGACAGTGAGCTAACGAGGTAACAAGAAAATCGTTTCGCGAACGACAAATTTAGAAAGTAGTTTGGTGCGATTGGTCGAACAAAAAAAAAAGTTGTCGAAATAAATTTGTCTTCTGACCCGATTGGGAGGGAACGAAGTGAAAAAAAAAACACGAATCGTATCCTCTCTTATTATGTATTCTCTACTGGAAGATAGGTATCCACGTTTCAAACTGCGCAATGCAGGATGCTTTGTTTTCGTGTTCAAAGTCAAATGCATATCTAGTCCCTCGTCGATACATAAATATGCGATTTATGGGCGTACATGCGACAACGTTGTCACGTGGCGACATTATGCACAATACTCGATGCATCCCGTTGAATCTCGTAACAATTATAGGAAGAGTCACAGTGGCGGAGGTGGTAGTAATTTTTTATAATTCTAGTAACAAGCATCACCCCGCATCACAGCAGCACGAAAGAGTGACTTCGAAGCTATCCTTTGTCTACCAAGGACTTGAATACGTAAATCCTCGACAGCGGCTGTCTTTGAATCGTACCGAGCGTAAAATACGGGGTTCGAAAATGTACGAAAAAATAAGCTCGCGACGAGTCGTCAAAAATATATATAATAGAAACAAAAGACCGACCATAGGTTAACCAGTCGCTCGGGAAACTCTGTATCTCGTAGTGACTAAGACTGCCGCGTGGCGTCGCGTCGGTCGGTCGTAGCGTCGACAATACGAATATCTATCGTCGACTGTTAATATTCCAATGACAGTTAATTCGTGTCCGGACTGTGGATCCGCGATGACGAAGGCCAGGCAGCGTGCTTCGGCTGATCTTGCGGGCTGGAGTATTTCCGCGTCGGAGAACATTAATTATTTACTATTTCCTAGTACGAAGCTGCGTCGAGGAAACTTGGCACTTCGCCACGGCATGGAAATTTTTATCAATTTACCCGGGATTCGTTCGAGTGTGTCTTTCGCAGGACAAAGCCATTGTCCGGGAAGCACTGGTTCGCCGAATCAGCTGTGTCCTTTGTTCCTCGCACATTTTTTCTATTCGGCTGACCGTCATCGAGAGCATAAAAATTCAAAAATCTTGTTTTATCTTATTAGCCTACCATTCGCCAGGTATCCAGTGCCAGCTGTTATCTCCTTTTGCGTGGATCGTCAGAAATCAACAAAAAAAACAGATCGTTCCTTCCACGTTTCTAAGGCACTGGGTTAAGTCAACAGCTCTGGCTTTGTTCACTGTGCTACCGGCAACTGAAATTTTCACACGAAGATAACACAGTGCCGTATGACAATATATAGGATTTTTATCACGGTAAGAGTTGAAAGAAAAAAAAAAAATTTTTTTTATCATTCATCTACTTAAAAAAATTTTTTCCACATTCACATACAGCGTACGAAACGATCTTTCACAAAGATGATAATTATCAAAATCCCAAGATAAGACCCAACTTCTAATCAATCTCACATGTGGATACCTCTAAACGACCTGCCCTTTCCGGTCTACGAGTCACCCATTTTTCCAATCTAGAAAATGAAGGTTATCGCCTGTAACGATCAACGCATTAAATCGATTGTGTATTCGACTTATCTCATTTAACTTACTTCTTCAATGCCATTCCTTTTTTAGGGGGACTTCTAACTCTACCACGAATTTACTCGTTTCTTTCAAAACGGCTTCTATACATCGCTCGAAATAATTTTGACAAATCAAAAAGTGTGTCACTTTCGCATTCTGATTATTCCTAAAAATACAATAATTTACGAGGAAATCCAACAATGACAATATCGTTCACAAAGGGGACACCGTGTTACAATTTATATTCAAGTGACAAGTTATATTTAAGATACGACACAAGATTTTCATTTCACTTCGACAACCTCACGATCATGTATCTCTTTTACTTATCGAATATTACTATCAGTTATCAGTCCCGATTTTTTTTTTCTTGCTGTCCGCCGTAATACCTCATCGAGAATAGAGAGAAGGCAAAGGATTTGTTGCGAACCGAAGGTCGTCACCGAGTCATCAGGCGATTCTGAACTTTGTCAGGGGAATCGCGTGACGTCACGAGCACACCTTACGTCATTAATTAGAAACCCGTTCAGCCACTGATCTTTTCTTTCTCCTTTTCTTCAAATTCCTCGCTCTGCCACTGGCCGTACGTTATTCCATTTTTCAGTGATCACTTAAGTTACTCCGCACCTTACAAACAATTACTAAGGTCCGAGCTGTGAAAATATTAACCTCTAAAATCTCGCAGAACGCCAAGTACAGGACGAACGTAGCCGAGAGGGTTTTGCAGTTTATTTATCGTAGTCTTTTGTTACAAACGGAGATATTCAAATTGATGACTAATAAAAGCATAAATGGCTCATTTCAATTTAACACCGTTGCATGCTCCTTAGTTCCGATCGTAAATCTCCCGAGTGTCGAATTCAACTTTATTAAAATTTTACACCGAATACTCCACACCGGCGACTAACGGTACTTGGCGAGACTAAAATAATAGACTTGCGTCGATCACTTGTACAGACGTGAAAGATACTAAATTTTTTAACCGTTTACAGCAGTAAGAAATTTATTGCTTTTATCGCGGGTAATGTGAATTTAACATGTAATCGATAGGCTTGTCAACCGCCGGTAAGAAACTATAGGCGAAAAAGATTCATTAAGTTTCTAGTGAATTTACGTGAAATATATGCATGTAGTGCAATCGAGATCCAATCGCAATATATACGTACGGTAAGACAGGGTAACCAACTTTCGATAAGAAAAAAATAAACGTGGACCGGGTTGGTCTTAGATAAAAGACTATCAAGTTGTGTAATCTGGTTATCGTGTGGCTTTTATCGTCGTATTTGCCATTTGGGCAATTTGTTTGCTTAAAACTCACATACGCCGAGATATCTTTTCTGTCGTTGCTGCATCACGGTTTTCATGGGTTTTCCGAAAAAATTACTTTACCCTCCCTGACTGTATACTTTCGCCATTTTATGGTAACGTTATAACGTGTGTAGCTAGTGGAACGCCAACGGTCATTCTGATAATGGGAAATTTCTAGTTACTTAATAATGTCATTTTAGTTTTTTCAGTTACGAGGATATACTGACATTCACTTATATGCTATTTGCGCAAGGTAGTCTTTTAATTGATTATATTATTTTATTATCCCCGTTGCTTTATCGTCCATTCGATGAGTCATTTGTTTGAAAACAAAGGAGTAGGTGCGGAATTGATCGGTTCAGAGTAAATCTGGTATCTACGTATCTGCTTGTATCGTCGGATATAGCACTTCGTGTAGCATGTAATCCATAGATAATAGATATAGAAAAATACGTAATGTTACTATGACCGGCAGCTTCAGGAATGTTTGTGCAATAATCGCAATGGCTTTTTTAAAAATCGCATTCAAACCTGCGACTCCAACATATTCACTGGACGTCACACTTCAAATATCCTAGTATGTAATTGTCCTTTGTGAAGTTGACTTTTGAATGTGTCATTGTTGTATCGAATGACAAAATAGCGGAATTAAGGAACGTAACGTTTGAGCGAAATATCTTTCACTAAAAATGCTTGTTCGTACGATAAAAACAACAAAAGACTCACCATAGCTCCAGTCTCAGATACAACCGGTGGTACTTCTTGAGTTTCGGCACAAACAATGGTAGCAATAACAATGATCACGAGCTTTGCGAAACTTGTCGATAAATTTTGGACGGTCCTCTCCGCCATGTTGGACGACGAGTTAATACAAGCAGGGACAAAATTAAATACTTCGTAGAATGGTAATAGGAGAATTCAATTACATTCGACAAGTATCACTGACAATTTTTTCTCATTTTACGGGCACCAACTGGACACTCGCGTTCGCGATTTTTGTTTAACTTATGTGAACGCAAAAATACGACTGAACACTAAATTTAAGAGGATTTCAGAGGCGAAAACAATAAATAAGTCCCTCGATGACACCACGATACGACACTATCGAAATTCGCACGGTTTGAGGACGTCACGACTTCGAAAAAATTCGTAACAGGAACAACGAGGGTTGATCATTAAAAAATGGGTGTTCAACTATGGGTGTTTTTTTAACACGCATAGAATCGCGAACAACCAGCTAGCCCGGAGTACACCGCCACTCTGATTCAACAGAGCACGGTCACTGACTTTTATTGGATTCCCCCACCACGACGCCCTTCGCGCTTTTTCTCCACGTTGTCCCACCAGCCCGTGCAAGTACACTCAACATCAGATGCAACATAGGTAGTCAGAGTCTGGTCGAGTAATAACTCTACGCTATGTTCTTCGAGAATAAAGGACGCCAAGAGAAAAGAGGACGTTCTCGCGACGGATTTATTTTTTAAAAACGCTCTATAGTAATACAAATAACTACTAAATTCTCATAGTATTCTTATCGCTATTTTCTTTAGTTCTTCGTGCATCTACTGTCAATTATCTAACAAGAAATTCGTTGGCTGTTCAAAAAGATCGAAATTTCTTTTTTTCAATAACTCCTTTTCACTTCGATAAACACGAGTCTTGACAATTATTTTCCCTTATAATATTATCCATTTTGACTAATTAGCATCGGATACATTTCTAACTCATAAAATATGAATTTTTCTTACACAAATATTTGATTAGCTAATTACGATACGTAATAAAGAAATACCATTGATTATTTTCATATTTTATTCCGTGCAAATAAAATATATATTTCTTGACCCTTTATCGTTAATCGCACTTTATGCATTCTTACGAACATTACTTCTCGGATTCACGTACAAAAAATACAAGGCATTATCGAAGGGTAATCCTGGTATCTTACTAAGGAGCAAACGAAAGATATATTGGTATCCATTGGAAAGTTTACTCTCGAAAATAAATACAGAAATTGAATAGAGCTTTTGCACCGTCGCTTTTCTTTTCTCATTTTCACATCTCTGCCCGTCGCAAGAATTTATTGTCATTCGTAAGAGCTTCTCCAAGACTTGTCTCGGGCTCGTCCTTTCTAAATACACACGTATAAATGGACTTCGCGACGCTGGCGTTGCGTCTTGTTTTTTCTGTTGTCGCTGAATATCGCTCGGTAGAATTATTATTTCCATAAGCGTCAAGCTTCCTACCAGACGGATCTCAGCTTCGTAAAGCGGATAATTCGCGTTTCTCGAACTTCCTTCTGGTTCGCCAAATCCCTGCGCACATTGTTATCCTTTTACTTTTCAGAATCGAGATGAGCAAGACATTGCTCCGTCGAGTCTATCCTTTTACTTCCTTTGGCTGGTTGGGATTATAACCTTAAATCTCATGAAATTTCTTGGCTATGCTTATATGCGAAGTCTATCGTCTTTATTCATAAGTCCTTGTTATCCGTCGCCATTAACCTACTGGCAACAATCGCTGATCAAGATTAGTCTGTGTATCGATCCGGTTGGTTATTGGTATCTTTAACCTAAAAATTCTTATAATAGGACGGATCGTGCATGGAATTAATGTCTTTGGCACTTGCTTCTCTTGGACTATAGATTCTTTATTTTCTGAGTTTTCTCTAATCACGTGTCACGAAAAACGATTTTTCGGGTACAAAAAATTTTCTCGCGACTCGAAATAATTATTGCAGTTTCAGATTGCCATTGTCATTTTACGTATTAAGATTTCAATGTAAATTGCATAAAATTGATATCGGCTAATATACTTGTATATTAAAAATATTATAAATACCAGGCAGTGATAATTACGATAATCGTTGATAATTATTATCCGATATTTTTTGATATTATCCAATTATGAGATTTACGATAGCAAATCAAAATTACATTTATCTTCTGTAAAATTTCCATTATCAACGGCTTTACTGTAAGTGTAACGCGAGTTGAAGTAAAATTATAAAAAAATTGTGAATCTCGTTCGAAATCATCAAAGTCAATGAAAGTGCAAAAGAATGCCAAAAATACGTAGGATACAAATAAAATTGTACTCTCAAAGAATATTAAAGTCTGCGGATGTCACAGTATTATGTTGACCCATTCAAAGGATTCCACTATTTGAACGTTAAACTTTACGAGTGGCTCGCGTTTTACCATGCACCTGCACGTTATGCATTATTTATTAAATTTACGATACGAACAGTGAAATTTTGAAAATTCCATAGAACCCTACATCTATGCTCTTTCATAGTTTTTAATTGAATTCGAATCACGTCCAAACTATGGAATTTTAAGAAACTTGTCATTCAACGACCTGTAACACGTAAAACTTTATAAGCTTGAAATTTGTATCTTTAACGCGAACGATTAAATTCATATCTCTGGGATCGATACCGTTATAAATCTTTACTACGATCGATGGCTATTTATTACGTTCGATTTCATTTTTGGATCTTTGGGCCGAGGTATTATTATTATTATTCCAACTTACCTGAATGCTGTGCATTATTTACGGATTCTCATTGCGTAAATAGCATTGAAATAAATAAATAAATAGCACTGGGTGCTGCACGCTGCTGTATCGAGACGATCGTGAATTCGCTTCACGTTACGGATCAGTGGCTTTTCGGAAATTTCTTTTCGGTCATTGTTGGTAGGTAAACAACGCACGGTACTTTTTTGGAAATTTGGGTAAATATAGATATATATTATTTTTTGGGAACTTGACCCTGAAAAATATGTGTGGAAGCGTACGTGTATTCTGTCTATGTTATCTGTATTGCTTTGCGGTGTTATTGTATAATACATATTTATGCATGTCTACTGGGGACTTTGTGCAAGGTACACGAAACCGACAGAGAAATTTTCAAAGTGATTTATGAATTATTTTGTCGATGCGATAAATGACAATTACTCTCGATTGGAAAATCTTTGAAAAATTTATAATTCAATTGCAAAGGTGGGTATTTGTGCAAGACTTGCAATTGATTTTTAAGACTCCTTGTCAGGGTCGAACGGTCGATAATGAAGTAAAATTGAGTTTTTATTTCCACAGTCCGGCATCGAAATAATTTGATTTCGAAAATTACGATCGATCCTATTTCGATTGCGCTCGATTCACCTTGGCCTATTCCGTAAATTCCGTAAAAGTACGAAATTCTATTCTGGAAGAAATTTTGGGGTAATTCAAATTTACATAACGTATTTATTATTTAATTACGTAAATTACCCAGGTTCCTTAACATGATTTCATGCTCGTGCGATTCTCGCTATGTTTAAGTATTGCGATAGAAAATTGGCCCGTTTGACATAGGTAAAAGAATACCTAACCCCGTACAATTTATGAAAACATATTAGATGCATTCCAATATACAAATTTAAATTTTTCTCAGACGATGGCTCAATTTTGAGCTATACCACGTTTTAGTATTTAGCGTACAGTTCTTGGGACGTACACAAGCCAAGTTGAACTATGAAAATTTTAATTCTCAATCCGAGTAACGTTAATTTCTTGAGTCCGGTGGCTCAGTGAGTAGATTTTTTTCACACTCCCAACTTCGAGCATCCCGACAATCGAAGATTCGATTTCTGTTCGCAGCATCCCAAATAGGTGCGTCTGTGCGTGACTGTACCACCCAACAATCGCAGATATAGCTATTATATTTTATCCACATCTATATTAATTATGCAATTCTTTTACCATGTTAAATGTATATTTGATATATTTTTATGAATATTAATAATATAGTAAATTTGATATACTACATAAAACTAAAGTCGAATTCAAATCTGGCCCTGGCTAGTTTTACTGGCTGAGCTGAACTCGGCGCAAACTTTACCTTGCACGTTCATTTATATTAATCTCATGCAAAAATATGGTTACGAACTGGAATTATTGACCCGCATCTAACCAGGCACTAGCTAGATTGCCCTCAAGTTAGAAATCAGAGCTTCCCCTAAATATTCTGATTCGGATTTCTACTAGGGATACTAATGTACCGAATGACTTTGAAATTCGATATTTTTTTTTTCCCACGTTAATTTTTCGTTTATGACTCGAAACTACAAAATTTCTTATATTTTCACTGACTCACTTTTCGAAATGAAAATCATTGAATTTTTATTTTACATACGTTATGAAGTTCATTGACGGTATTTATTTTTAAAAAATTAATCAAATTTCAAATACCACCATTTTTGCCCATTCTTTGACAAAGAGAACCCCTACAACCGATTGCTTATATGGACTCTACTATCTTTACCTTTGGCTGATTCTACATCATACGATCCGTCCAGTGAATCATTGAATTCGTATAGCGCTTTTGGTTATCGCGATACCTTTTGTACTTACCGCCGAATGCAGTATACAAATGACTCAAAATACTAAGCCATTAATAAACCTATTAGTCATTGCGGTTATTTATTTTTTTTATATGAATAATAGCAATATTCGGTCCCTAGGGAGGCGTTCCTATGGTGGGCATGTAAATATTCCACACGTGCAGCCCTACACGTCGCAAGTAAGACCTAAATAAATCCACATTTCGATGGTGTCAAATTCAAATGTCAATGAGAATAAAATTTTTGGATCAAAAATTTCTGTAACCCATCGTCAAATTTGTGTGGACCGTCATAGCACTCAATTTTGAGTCTGACATGAAATTTCATAGATAGTACCAACGGGATGACTACGTTCCTAAAAAATTTCCTTAAATTTGGATTTTGCAAAAATCCTTCGTGGTATCCGATATCAAAAACGAAAAAAACTAAATATTTCATATCCGGTTGTGCAGATTTTTTTTTGTCAGATCTATTGACGTTGGTATTTTGACGTGACGACGTGAAAATAATATGAGGATATTTTTTGGGTTTCACAACGTGTAGGGCTGCACGTGCAGAATATTGACGTGTAGGATGTATGCTTCCCCCAATGCGGAAAGAATGTTGCTATTATTCATATAGAACAAAAATAAATAACCGCACTGACCAACTAGTCTAATAATAAATCGGTATTTTGAGTCATTTGTAATTTTTGTAATTTTTTAATATTTACCATAACGATGGGTTTGAAATTTTGGTAAAATTGTGATATCGTAAAATTTAACGTTTCAGGGCAAAAGAGGTGTTAAATTATTTAGAGTTCAATACTAACAAGTTCAATGCTAATATTTATCAAGATTTTTTACACTACCGCTAATTAATTTCAATACGCCCGCAGATTTTTCG